CTATAGTTTAGGCGCCTAATTTGCATACTCCTGCTCTGTTTTGTTGACATTCGGTACAAGGTTAACTCAATAAATGCCATTGTGATCTACATGTTGACATCCAAAATATCTCCACATGTTGACATCCGAAATATCTCCCTGAAGCAGGGGAGCATGTTCAGGGATATGGTGATATAGATACAGATTTAGAAGAGCCAGTACCCTTCCAATTGAGGTGCTTGTTCTATCTTGTCATATTGGGATGGGAGGGGGGTTGGTTTAGGTAGCAGTGCAATTCAATTATATGTTGTGTGGATAGCAATGCAATTTTTATATGCTTGCCGCTTAAGTTTGTTTCTCCAATTTCAGGGTGTGCGTTGAACAAGCCATAGAGAAGTCCCTACTAGCAGGGCAAAAGGAAGCACCGATATGGGTCCTGGGGGATGGCAATCCAAGAGAGTGAAGCCAACTAGTCCAGGAGAGTTGCAGCATCTTGTAGTTCCAACTAGGTCCAAAAGTCAGCACGCACAAGGCGAACAAAGCCCTGTGAGGGACTGGTCACATGAAGATGACCTTAGCCATGCCGAAGAGGAGACTCCACCTCCCTACCCATAGAATGACCAAACTGGCGAAGGTTGGTACTACCTTAGACATGTCTATAAATCAAGTCACACTATTTGATATCCATGTTACTTTTCTAACAATCTAAATGTATGAAAACTATGTAGTACCAGTGAATGACACGTGTAAGAGCTAGGACAGACACATGTGGGCCAATACAAACAAAATATGTGGTACAAATCCATCCAGCCACGTGGTCAAATCAGAAAAAGACACGTGGGTAGCTCGTGGCGCGACACGTGGCCCAATAAAATACTGACACGTGGACGTACAGAATCGAGACACGTGGTCGAGTAAAAGAAAGACACTATGGGGTATTATGGTCACATGGTCCAATGAAGAAGTGACACGTAACCCAACCGCAACACGACACGTGTGCCAATAGAAAACTGACATGTGGAACAACAAGGTCCCGACACGTTGTCCAGTAAGTACCTGAAACATGCAAGAATCAGAGATGGCCACGTTGTGCAATAAGAAGGTGACATGTATCGGAACCATCTCCAATGCAATCGGCTATAGCATGTACACGTGGAAAGCATCTCTAATGGAAGCACCCGCCAGCGTGGCTGCCCCCTGCCACGCACGCCAAATTAGTGCTATGAGAGTCAGTTTTCTTCATTAATCTATCCACATCTATGATGAATTTCTAGAATCGTCATGGAATTTCAAGAATGACGCTACTTCTATGACGAACCGTTTTTCATCATAAATTCATCATAAAACTGAAATTATGACGAATTTGGCTCTTTCAGTGACCAAAGCTGTTCATCATAGAAGTGGATATTCCTAGTAGTGTGCATATGTTGCAATGGTTGTACACGTATGTTGCAAGCTTTCGTTCACAATGTTTCATCTGTTTTTCAGACGCATGTTGTGAGTGCGTTTATTTGTATGTTGCATATGTTTCACACATATGTTTCCAAGTGTTTTATCTGGATGTTGCGTATGTTTTGCAATGGTTTCAAGTGTTTTTGCAAGTGTTTCACAGATGCATATTTTAAGTGTTTCATCAACCTTCATACGTCTGTTACAAGTGTTGCTTCTGAATGTTTCAAAAGTAGATTGGGTGTTGCATCTCGCTCCTCGCCCTCTGCTGCCTCGCCTCGGTGTCTCCTCTTCCCGGCGCCGGCTGGGCATCCGCTGCCTCCTCCCTATCCTGTCGATGCTAATGACGTTTAGGGCGATGCGAGCCCCACGTGGGCGCACAAAATAGCACGAGAAAGGGACTACAGGCGCGGGCATCCAGGTGCTAGCAAGCCTGATTTTCAATTAGAGCCGACGAGGAACCTTCTTGAACTCTAAATACATACATTTATCGGTCCTAATTTATAGGTTGTTTTTTTTGCTTTTCTAGGTACATAGCTTTTATTATATATCTAGACATATTATATATCTGGCTGTATAGCAAAAGCTAAATACCTAGAAAAACCAAAATAACTTATAATTTAGGATAGAGAGGGTGGTACCTTTTAGAATCGGTCTAGTAGAACTGCAGAACTAGAACTGAAATTAGCTAAACAATCTTCTTTGTGTAAGGATCCGAGAGCCAAATGTTGGGAGACCTAAGATAATCTTCTTTGTGTAAGGATCCGAGATCCAAATATTGGGAAACCTAAGATGGGGAGGGAATAAACTGCGTCTCTTAGTACAATCTAGATTTCTTTTAATCTATATTAGAAAAACTATAAACTAACTAGCAAGACTGCATCTAAGGTTTTCTAATGCGCTTTAAGTACCCAACCAAAATAAACTAGCCACACAAATCACGCATAATGTAAAAATTTAAATGTGGTAAGTAAAAAGTAAGTCAAGAGATGGCAAATTTCTAGAGACGAGACGATTCTTCCATGTATCAGTTGCCAAGATGCAAATTCTAGTCAATGTTGGAGCTCCAATGAACATAAGCTCTTGGTCAACACGCATTCAGTGGTTAAGAACTAACGATGTTGAGCTCACCACAAAGCCTTGTGCAACCAAGGCAAGTGGTGTAAGCCAAGCTCAACAGCGCTGCTCGCCTGTTTTGATCACCTCGGTACCATCCACTACAGAGCATCTCCACCAAGAAAGAGTTCTGGTCGTCCCCGCACACCAAGTCGTTGCCGCTTTACACCAAACTTGGAGGGTTGACATCACTGAAAGGTCAACAAGCAGGGGCGGAGCTACAACTTATCACCGGGGCCAGTCAACCCAGATGGATTCCGAGAATTCCACATATAGTGCTAATAGCTCCTAATGACACCATTATTGTCAAACAAGACCCCGATGATAATCTAGCCTAGATTCTCCCCTGTCAACAAGTCTTCAAGTGTTCCAATTCACCAAGATTACAAGAGCACACAAACTGAATCACTCAAGCTCTCAATTAAGGTAGAAGGCCTATCTCTCACAAAGATGAACACTAAGTCACATTATATGCCTTGAATGTGATCAATATGCACTTGAGAGGGTGATGGAGTGTATGGTCACTTAGCTCTAGCTTCTAGTAGGCTTAGGGCACTCCGAAAACATTAAGTGAGTGGGGACGCATATACCTAGTTGACCCACCCTATGTATAACTCTTTTGCGGTAAAGATAGCAACACACTAATTAGCAAAACCTAGATGCACATTTAGATAAATCTTGCATAGGTTTTGATAAGTAAAATTAGAGGCCAAATGGTTTTTAGAAATTAAGCTTAATTTCACCCCCCTCCCTCTTAGGCGTCACGATCCCTATAGGTAGGTGGGATCAGGTGGCTAGAGTTTCATGGTTATATACTAAGGCCGGTTTTCAATGACGGTTCCATTACAAACCAGCAGTGATATATTATAATCTCCAGTTTTACTAGGACTAGCGAATACTTTTACCAAAAATCATTTCTATAATAGTGTAAGAGGGGAGGTTGAAGAGGAGTGTATCGTCGACGTTGAACACAATGCATGACGGGCGCCCTGTGCTACATGGTGCGGGTGTTAGTGGCGATGCCCATGATCATTGTAGGCAGCTGCACCAAGCACGGATCGTTATCACTACAGCTAGACCACCACGATATATATTTGAAAAATGTCACATTTCTTTCTAGTTCGGGAAATATATATACAATCATATGTATTGTATTTCCATTATTTCCTTGCCCATGACGTATCAAACTGTGAGGGCAGAGTGGCAGTGGAAGCGTCAAAATTAGTAAGCTAATTACTCACCAGCATTTCACACAACACCTTATGTGCATACAACAAAACAGCCCCATAGTATCAATTCTTCAAACATAGTGCTGTCCAAAATTCATAATAAGGAGTATACTTGCAAAGATCAGCCCACTAACTCATCAATCCCCATCGTCAACATATCAAAGGACCCATGTATGCCTCATATGTCAATCTCATCCATATCCATGAACTTGAATAAAATGGCACCAATAGCAAGCAAATAGGAACCAATCAACAAGTATGACAAGATAAATACCGAATCACAAGTAGACACAAGGATTTACGTGGGAACCCTTTATGGGGAAAAACCACGGGGGGCGACGAGTAAGCAATCCACTATGAAGATGAAGATACAAGAGCTGGGAGCCAACAAGGTTGGGGAGCCTCCAAATCTCCTTTGATTTCACTCTCTAATGGATGGATTTGGTAGATCAAAGCCTCACCCCTCAAATCTCCTCTCTCCCTCTCTCAACACCAAAGGGGAAGAATGAGCACCTCCTAAAACAGGAAGCTATTTTGGGCTGGTTTGGGCACTTCATAGAAAGGCCCTCAAAGTTGCATATTACCACAAATAAGTTTCTAGACACCTAGCCAAACATATAATCAACATTTTGCATAACATAGGGTGTGTTTGGTTTCCTGGCTAGAATTCAAGCCTTGGTAGCCCAGGCCTGGCTCCACGAAGCCAATCCCAACTTGTTTGGTTGCCTGCGTTACCTAAGCCTGACTAGCATATGATGTGTTTGGTTGCCTAATCTGCATTGCATAGGATCACCTCTTTCTTTTGCTGGTAAGTTTACCATAGTGAGACATTTCGTTGAGCGGGTGGTGAGCAGAAGCAGCGAGTGACTGGTGTGCACGGGTATGTATCTACCGGTGGTGCCGCTGTAGCCAGAGAGCATGGTGCCGTCAGACACAGCCCCGCCGCCGTCGCCGAGCTCCCTGGTGAAGGCAAGCGTCGCGTCGCGTCGAGTAGGCCTGTGTCGAAGACATCCCCTTACCCGCTGCTAAAGAACGCAAGCGGGTCACCATCCATGTCCGCGCACTCACGCTCCCGTTCCCCTCCCACCACGCACTGCCCGCGGGCGCCGAGAGTGCCAAGCACGAGTGGAGGTTGGTGGCCATGGAGGAGGGATGGTCGCGCCGGCCATGGAGGAGGGAAGGTCACGTCGACCATGGATCGAAGGAGGGAAGCTCCGGCCCGCAGACATGGAGATTCGGCCGGCCATGGAGGAGATAAGGCTGCGCCAGCCATGGAGGAGGGAAGCTCCACCCGTGGCCAGGGAGTTTCGACCAGCCATGGAGGAGGGAAGGTTGCACCGATCATGGAGGAGGGAAGCTCCGCCCACGGCCATGGGAGTCGGCCGACCATGGAGGAGGGAAGGTTGAGTCGGTCATGGAGGAGGGAAGCTCCGATCGCGGCAACGGAGAGGTCGGCCACCGAAGGTCTCCTGTCTAACTAATGCAGAGTCGAAGAGGGGAGGTGAATAGCAGGGAGGTGATGCAAACAGGAGGGAGGGTTGGCCAGGGCCTAGCCATGGAAGAACGGCCACCCTCCACGTTCTTCTAGAGCCAAGCTAGGAGCTCAAAGCGGCTTCGCGGAGCCTGGCTTCAGCCTGTTTATAGACAACCAAAGAGCTAAAAGTTGGCTTACTAGAGCCTAGTTGTGCCTAACAAACAGACCCATAGTTGCCCAAATGAGCCTTAAGATGCAATAGGAACTGCAACATCACACAAACTGAATGATTTGATTCGCTGATTCTAAAAAAACTGAATGATTTGCTTTGTAGGAGGGAAGGAAAAAACAATTTATATAAAATATTAAAAGGAGAGAAAACGTGTGGCACGGTGCAAAGGATTCCTGCCGTCACCTATTTAAGGGGCCTCCCTCCACTCATCATCCCACTCCACTCCATTCCGGTGCATCATCGTTCTCGTGCTCGCCAATCGTTCCAAGGTGAGCGAGACGAGCTCCCGAAGTCTCGGCGGCGTGCCAAGTCATCACGCCCACACCCTTTTGCTTGTTTCTCGTTTCTCATCCTCCTCGTGCGTTGGAATTGTCCGTTTTTTCTCGCCCAACTTTTTGGGGACGCCATTCTGATCTCCGTTTCGCGCGGCCGCTGGACTTCCTAGTCGCGGTCGCAGCTGCGGCTCGCCACTTCGCCCTCTGAAAACGCCAAAATTTATTTATCTAAAATTGTTTGATTACCATCGGGCGTCGGTGGAGCTCCTGTGCAATAAAAAAGGGACCTATTCGCGTTTTCTATCTCTGCAAAGGTAATTTCTGAAAAACGTTTCGCTGCTGCCTCCTCGTCTTCTTTCTCTCCGGTACGGTAGGGCTGGCCGGCTGAGTACAAGAAACAGTCTTTGCTCGCGTCGCGTCGTGGGTTCTGCCCCCTGTTCGATTTACCGCGAGGTTAGCGGCGGAGCCTTGCGTGCCTTCGATTGCTGCATCCGTCGGCGAGTTCCTAGCTGATCGACGGTACTTTGTAGCCCTGCCTTGCGTGGTTGGGGGAGTGCTTTCCCATTCCGATTGAGCTGGCGGCATTTGCGCGTTTTCTTGGTAGAATTTCCGTAGTAGTAGTTGATGAGTGCTTGCGATTTCTTTTAGCACATGTTGATTAGTAATTTTTTATAGTACTAACAGAGGACCAGTTGGTGGTTGGTGATTGTACGCGGTTCTTGTTTTTCCCCCTTCTTTTTTTGCTATTATTAATTAATATAAAATATTCTGTTCTTGTCCACGTTTCTTTTTTTATCTTTACTTTTTCAGCTTCGTGCTGCTCTTACTTTATTCTATTCTATTCGTCTGGTTCAGGTGTAGCAACCTATCACGCGTAGATATGCTTTCTCTCTGCCTATCCAGATGGCTAGCTACGAATCCTTCCTTTTGCTTACATTTTCGCTTCAATACGAAGTAGCACTGATGATAAATAACGCTCCTGTTTGTTTTGTGTGTCTGAAATTCTGTTCTTGCCTGACTTGTGTACGTTATTGTTGACTGTTGAGCCAGAGACTGGGACCTTCAAAGAGCAATAGGACTCATGGAGGTTGGAGACGCAAGAAACGGTTCTGCAGCAGTGGCACAGACAAAGGGAAGTGCGGATGATGCCACCGGCAAACCGCTCTCTCCTTGCTGTGTCAAGGCCAAGGCAGGCGTGCCTGAATCCGAAGCCAAGTGCCATGATACTGTGGTCTCAGGGTGGTTCACGGAGCCCAGATCGCGGTTTGGTATGTTCAGAATCCAGATTGGTAGCTAACGGGCTGAAATATATTATGGCCCCGTTTGGCCGGGATCTGGGCAGCTCCGGCTCCTGCTGCCGAATCACTGCAGCTGCACTATTCACCGAAGCCGTTTTTCTCTCTCCTCCTTTCCTCTCTCACTGACGCCACCGGAGCCGGAGAAGCTCGTTTTTTTCTCCCGTGGCTCCGGCTACAATGTAGGAGCCGGAGCACGCGGGAGGTCAGCCAAATGGGGCCTATATTCTTTCAGCAGTTCTGATATATATAGTACCGAATTGGTGTACGTGCAGGTAAAACAAGCAAAGTGCAGTACTTCAATAACCCGATGTGGCCTGGTATTTCTCTTGTTTCTGAAAAAAATAATAGAAATTTGCCATGTTTTTTTTCTTCCAAACATCTTCAGATTCACATATAGAAGGGCGGGCTTGGTGCAAGCGGTAGAGTTTTACCGCCTGTGACCGGAAGGTCCCGGGTTCGAGTCGCGGTCTCCTCGCATTGCACAGGCGAGGGTAAGGCTTGCCATTGACACCCTTCCCCAGACCCGCACAGAGCGGGAGCTCTCTGCACTGAGTACGCCCTTTTTATCTTTAGGTTCACATGTTGTCTCACTACAATATTTTGTTAAATTTAATCGTTGTATGATGATATAAAACTTGGTCACGCTTACCTGCCTAATTTTTATCAGTTTGATAACTTCAAAAGATTTGATATGCAAAACTGCCTAGTGGAGACTTTCAATATTGGTCTACTTGTGTATGTCAAAAATATTTGTCCCCTAAAAGGCTTTAATGGTCCATATGTCCTACCTATTCAGGAATCAGAAGTTTGATCAACATCTTTTTTTATTTGTTTTATTTACAGGAGAGGCTCATTCATTGAAAGTGGAGAAGATTTTGTTTCAAGGGAAATCGCCTTACCAAGAAATTTTAGTTTTTGAGGTTATTTTTTATCTCCGAAATTTGCACATGAAAACCCGAACTCGTGAGTCATTGTACTAAGTAGCACTTTCATTTCTGTTCGCAGTCTTCAACCTATGGAAATGTTCTTGTGCTTGATGGTATAGTTCAGTTGACTGACAAGGATGAATGCGCATACCAGGAAATGGTTACTCACCTTCCACTGTGCTCAATCCCAGCACCAAAGAATGTATGTTTCTTGACCTTTTTTTTCTGAAAACTGTGACCTTGCTAGATATACTAAATAAATTGAATTGAGGGATGTTCTCCCCACCTTACGTTTTCTAATGAGTAACTTTATGGGCAGTTCACCTTATGATATAGGCTTACTAACTCATGCAGGTTTTGGTTGTTGGAGGTGGTGATGGTGGTGTACTGCGGGAAATAGCCAGACATGATTCAGTGGATACTATTGATATATGTGAGATTGATCAACTAGTTATTGATGTAAGAATGGTCACTTTACCTATGTTTGAAATTCAATGTATAATAGTGTGAATATATTTTTTTTCTGATTTTTCTCTCCAAACTGTGCAGGTTTGCAAAGAATTCTTTCCAAACTTATCCATTGGATATAAAGATCCTCGTGTCCGACTTAATGTTGGTGATGGTATGTTGCAAAGCTGGTACCTGGTGGTATTTTATATGATTGTGATAGGCTGTAGGATATGCCACTATTGTTTATAGCCTCAGACACATCGTTTCTGCTGGTCTTGATCTCTTATAGTTCATAGTATACTTGCTTTTGTTTTTCAGCTGTTGATTTCCTGAGGAATTCTCCTGAAGGAAAATACGATGCTATTATTGTCGATTCATCAGATCCAATTGGTGGGTTCTTGCTATCACATATTTTAGTAATAAGAAGTATAGAACTCTCTTGTACATTTGTTTATCACTTCATTCACATGTCATTCTCGATAAGGTTGCTTCTTGTTGATTTCTTTTTTTATCCTGTTATCTACAATTTAGTATGCATGGGCACATTTGGAATGCAATATTTCATATGAAATTGTTCATTTGCATGTGAGGAACTTTTGTGGTGGTTCCAAACATAACCTCCATATACCTAGTTGATTTACACCTGTGTCTATTTTTTTGGAAAATTAATATGCGTTCGTAAAGTTCACTTAATTGATACCTTTTATTTGCACACTGTTTTAAATTCCTTTCATACTAATTATTACAGGGCCAGCACAGGCACTCGTGGAGAAACCATTTATTCAGACAATTGCTAGAGCTTTGAAGCCTGGTGGTGTTCTTTGTAATCTTGCTGAGAGCATGTGGCTGCACACACATCTAATCCAGGATATGCTTGCTATCTGTCGACAGACATTCAAGGGTGCCGTGCACTATGCCTGGACAAGTGTTCCAACATATCCCAGGTATTATGCACTAATATTTTTCCAATTCTCTGCATGTGCATTTTCTTCTCTTTACTAGTTTTCTGAGTTATCTTCTAAAGGCTAATTTTTTGGCATATTTGGTTTAGAGGGCATATTGGGTTCAGAGTCACGGCATTGTATATCTCTTTATGTACCGTTGGACCACCAGCGAAGCATGACCGAATAAAAATATGATTTATGTTTGGGATACGATATTGCCATGCTCGTAATCTTATGAAGTTCATGATCTTAAGTTTTGCTCGTACAACTCAGAGAGTAGGCAAAGCATCTTGTGATTGAAATGACTAAACATTGGACTCATTGGCAAGTATGTGGATGAATGAGCTGAACCTGTAAGGATCTGCTGTCCAACTTACCGAAGAAGTTTGTGGTGTCCCACTTTGAAAGATTTGCTGGTCACATTTTTTTATTGAACACGCAAGAGAGCTGTGCATCATTATATTAATAAGAAGATTTGCTGGCCACATTATGATAGACAAAAATTAAATTAGCTGTTTCTGTTCAATGTTTGGAGAGATATTTTTGTGTCCACTTTTGCAAAAAATTTCAGCTAATCAAGTAGCTATTTGGATTTCCAGTGGTGTCATTGGTTTTTTGCTATGTGCGAAAGAAGGTCGTGCAGTGAACTTCTTAAGTCCTGTGAATCCAATTGAGAAAATAGGAGCTGGAAAAGCTGGAAGGGAGCTCAGATTTTACAATTCAGAGGTTTGTCCAGCGTATTTCACTATCCTTGCTGCTTGTCTTTGTGACAGTCTTAGTCCACAATTACCTGGGAAATTGACCTACAGACCACAGTACCTTTTTAAAATTTCACAGGCATTTCGTTCATATTTTTGTCACAACAACCCCCCAAAAATGACTACTGACTCATCATTTCTCTTGTCCAAGCTCTTACCATATTGGAGTACTTGTGATCATAGTGGTCCTCTGTTGTTTTTTGTTTGAAGGTATTCTGCCTGACATCAGATTTCTATTTGAATTTTCCTTGTTTCACAGATTCATAGGGCTGCTTTTGTTCTGCCAACATTTGTAAGAAGAGAACTGGAATCATATACCACTCCTAGTACTGCTGAAAACGTGAGTTGTTTCTTAATTACTTTGTTGATGGTGTGGTCAGTCTTTGTGTCTATGCATTTTGTATCTTGAACAGCTTTTGCAAATACAGTACTTTGTCTCTTTGTGTTGAAATTTTCACGATAGGGAAGAGCACAATCTTCCACAGTTCGATTTAGTTGTTGCACAAAGCTTTCCATCTGTGATTGTCACAATTACTGGCATACACATCCAGTACTGCTCTTTCTAAAAACATATATCCAGTAGTGATAGTGAGGCCACTGTTTTTCTTTTCAATTGATGAGATGTTCAGACGTCATACTGGAAGGAACACTGCTGACTGAGTGCCTCTATATAGGATCAACCTGAGGACTGTTCTACAGAGTACTTTTTCGCAATTGCTACAGCAGTACTAACCTTTGCCTCTATTTTCATATACATCATTAACAGGAGAAACCGAAAGAATCAGTGTCAGAACCGCAGAAGATAAAGATATTGTCAAACAATGCCATTCTTACAGCTTCCTAGGCTTGAGCCATACTCTATCTTGCTCGGTATAGTTGTATTCTCACAGAATAAATCAGTCACTGGATTTCGTTGACACCGCACGAGCAGCTTTAGTATAGTGAGTTGAGTGATGATGGATTGAATAAGAGGTGGATACTGAACTAATGTAATGCCTGCCGGAACAATATGTTCCCCTATCTTGTTGGGCGTGCTGTTTGTTGTGCAGAATTTCACCTGTAAGTTGTGACTTGTACGACCCGTTGATGAACAATAGACCTTGCGTTTGTGCCGAGAAATTACTTTTTTTACCAGTCCGCGGTATCTGACGCAGACTGTGTGAAAAAAAAATTGTCAACTGATGTGCATGATGTACAAAAAAAAAGAGGGTCAATAATGGAGGTGCTCTCTGCTGTTTGCACTTTGCCCCCGAAATAAGACTACATGCTTTGAAATTAGGATTAGTTATTTCTTATGATTTTTTGCTTTGACTATTTTATTGGGGGACTTATATTGGAACCTGTTGCCTCACCAAGAAAGAACTGTAAGACAGTACCACATATTACAACTTCTACACGAATGCAGTAGAAATAAACACTACGGTTTACTTTAACATAGACAACACGCCGTGTTAACATGTATGAATCTTCATATCTCAACACTTACTGTGAAAGTCTACACCTTTAACTTGGGACTTTAGGCTTTTGGTCATTGAACTCAAAAGTTGATATTGTAGGAAGTAAAACATTAGATTAGATGATTAAAAGCACGGGGATACAATCTGTTCATCTAATTATTGTTCTAACTGTATAATATCTGAACAATACCTAAAATGGTTCAAGTTTGAGTTACAAACTAAGCAGCAGGTTCAGGACAACATGATCCTGTTAGATTTAGAGTTTTATATCTACTAGAGCCATGCTTAGTTAACAACACAAGTACTTCATTGCTTACATACCCTAATCAAATATATAGTTATACTCAGTTTGTTTGAGTTCACAAATAAACTTTTTCATTGCTTCTAATTTAATGGCCAGGCGTCCTCTAATTTTGCATAGGTATTAGTAGATTCCATAATTTTCTACGTTTGGCTCTATGTCCTTGGGCTATTTAATGAAATGGCGCTTATGTTGGCAATGAAACCAGGAACTGAATATGTCGATATCCTGTCCGAGGTTGGCTCTACTCTTACCTTTTTTTTTCCTCCTTACAGTCTGTTACAAAGGAGCACTAGCAGTTTTAAGCCTTATCAAAAAGGAGATAAGCTTTGCGGCCATTATGATCATTTAGAAATTTAGAAATGAACCGGCCGGTCTAGCAAAAAGAAAGTGGCCAAACATCAACAACACATTTGGGAAATTAACTTAGGCTAATCTGGCAGAGCTCCCGTAGTAGGTTCTAGTCTGAATCTATACCAAACAATTTTTTTTATTGAGATGTGATTCTTTACTGTCTAAAATTAACTAAGGGGCTGGAGTTGAAAAAAGACGCTTCTTCTTATTTATTCCAGGCACAAAATCACTGTGCGCACATGGTTATCCTAAAAAATTATAGGTAATCAATTTCAGTTAGAAAATTTCTTCTTACATAGAACTAGCTTCCAGAGAAAATCTAAAACAGAAGAAACTATGTCAAAGTGGCTCCTAATTTCACGGGTTGGTGGTTTACTCCGGCAAGAGTGCGGGGCGTGGCAAAGCCGCGCCTGGCTTTCTAGGACTACATCCGTCCATAAAAGAATGCAATTCTCACATTTCGAGAAGTCAAACGGTTTAAACTTTGACTAAAATTATATAAAAAAGCAGTAACACTCGTGAGACAAAAAATATTATTAAAATAGTTATATAATATATTTTATAATAGATTTATTTAGAGACATAAATATTAATATTGTTTATTATAAATTTGGTTAAATTTGAGTAGCTTGATATCAGTAGCTTTATAGCAAGTATAATAACATGTTGTAAGCTGGCTCAATACTGAGGTAGATGAGAGAAAGGAGAGAGAGAGAGGAGAAGCGGGCTGTAAGATTACAGTCAGCTTGGACACAAGAACAAAAAGTCTGTGAGAGAGACAATTGGGCCATGTATTCAGCCTGTTCGTTTGGTTGTGGCTTGTCGTAAATGATCGTAAATTTCTAGTCGGAACAGTATTTTTTTTCTCACACAAACCAGCCAGCAGTACTTCTTCACGAATCAGCAACAAAACGAACCAGCCAACCGAACATGCTGATTAAACGTGAAGAGCTAACTACTACGTGGGTGAGCTAAGAGAAGGCTGCAAAGACACTTCCCACCAGCAAGTCTAACTACTATATAAATAAGATGAGAGAAGGCTACCTTACCGCCGTCTGGCCAAGACGGAGGGATTTCACAAAACCGTCACGTGGTTCTGCCCTCGGCGATCCTCGTCGTCACTCGCTAGTTTGCCACCTGGCAAGGCCTGTGGTTGTGGAGACCTTAAAGCTCGCGCCAATTGGGCCGTTTTGCAACCCATGCTCCACATTGAGGGCCTATTCGGCTGGTATTAAAACCAGCTGAACTGTTTTGCTGTGAGAGAAAAATACTGTAGATTTTAGTTGATAAGCCGGCTGATAAGTTCAAGCGAACAGGGCCTGAGTGCGCTCGTGTCTCCCTCCTGTGCGCCAGTTTTCTCTTTTTTTCCTGTTTTCGTATTCCATGCCTCCCACCTGGACATAGTGTTTGGAAGTTAAGAAAAGTTGCATTTCCTAAACAGAGTTTCAAAATTAAATTTTGATTGTGCCACTGTGTTTCTTATAATAAATCCTTCAAATCAAGATCCCACTTGAGTATATTTATAAAATAATTTATTTACATATATACTATGAAATATCATAAATACATCGTAGAATATCACATTAAGACTACATAAACATCACAAAAGATAGCATAGAACATCATATGTATACTACATAAACATCACATATCTCATAAAATAAAAAAATAAAAAATGAAATTAGTGAAGTAATTAATTATAGTCAAATAAAATGAAGAAAAAATATCAACGAAAGTCGTAAAATATATCCTAGAACATCAATGTATACTACCAAATATCACAAATACATCGTAGAACATCACATTAACATTACACGAACATCACCAAATATAGCATAGAACATCATATATATACTACGTGAACATAAAAAATATCATGAAATATAAAATAAAATAATGAAATTAGTGAAGTAATTAATTAGAGTCAAATAAAAAAAGAAAAAAGCTACCAAACATCACAAAATATATCCTAAAACACCAATGTATACTATTGAACATCACAAATACATCGTAGAACATCACATTAATACTACACAAACATCACAAAATATAGCATATAACATCATATGTATACTGCGTGAATATAAAAAAATAAATCATAGAACATCATATGTATACTACGTGAACATCACAAAATAGATTATAGAGCATCATATATATAAATAGAACACATGAATATTATTTGAGCAACCTATAAATTATGAAATATCCCATTTGTACAACAAGAACATCATATATAGAAAATAAAAAAAGTAAAACATGAAAATAAACATAATTAGAGTAAAACTAAAAAGATAAAAATAAAAAAAGAAATGAAAATAAAAAATATACGGAATACATAAAAGGAAAGACAAAAGAAAAATAAATAGAAGAAAAGAAAGAAACAAAAAAGAACAAAACATGGAAATGAAAAAGAAATAAATATTAATTAGATAAAATAAATAAATAAAATAAAAAAATATCACTCAGAAGATATAGAGAAAGAAAGAAATAGAAAAAGAAAAGGAAGAAAAGAAAACCCACCTACGTGGAACCTGGAACGTGCGAGCGTCGGCGTACCTACAGACTCATCGCTCGCTCTTGGGCCGTCGTACACGGTGTGGGCCGCTTTCCTTCGGGCTGACATCGCGTGCGTCAGGAGGGTCGGCGCGCGGATCGCGTCCGACTGGTCGGCAGCTATGCTTTCCGCTGGTTACCTCCCCCGGCACGCGGGCAAGTTGCATCGCCGTGGCGGGAAACCAAAAGTGGCGCCTCCCGTATCCCTCGAAAACACCCGGGCATCGCTACGTGCACACAAATATTACCACTGACACCGGGCCCCATATGGTGCTCAGCGGCCCATCCCCACTTTTCAGTCAGGCAGCAGGACTCCAATCTGAGCCCAAAAAAAAAAGTCCCCTCTTTCTCTCTCCCCTGATTCTCTCTCAACCGGCTCCCCTCCCTCCTCACTTCCTCAGCTTCCATTCTCTCTCCCCCATTAATCCCTCCCCGCTCTCTAGGCACCACTTCTGCTGCTCCATTATCAGCTCCCAAGGCATCTCCGCAATCCAATCCAATCGCGCGTGCACACACGCAACGCAAGCCCCAGGTCCCTCGCCTCCTCCTCCTCGCCAAACCCTAACCCTAACTCACAAGGGTCCCGGTCCCGGCCGCGGCGGCAGAAGACATGGCGGACACGGCGCGCGACTCCTTCCCGGACGAGGCGGAGACCGCGTTCACCCTCGACGAGTACATCGAGGGCATGGAGGCCGTGGAGCTGGTTACCTCTTGCCCCTCCTCCTCTGATAGCTAGATTCGATTAGTTCATTGAGGTGGAATTTTACGTGACTGATAAGGCTTTTGCTCGGGGTTTTGGGAACCGGAACACTGCAGGAGGCGGATTTGGTGCTGGGCGGGGACGATGGCAAGGACTGCACCTACGCCGGCGGATATCTCAAGCGCCAGGCCGTCTTCTCCTGCCTCACCTGCGTGCCTGATGGAGTCGCCGGGGTCTGCACCGCCTGCAGCCTCGCCTGCCACGATGGGCATGAGGTGACCCACCTCACCCCTTTTCTTCCAAAGTAGTACTATTGGGTCTGATTGGTTGCCTCAAGGCTTGTGCAGTGGAGTCTGCCCATGTTTGGTTTCCTGCAGAGGCTCTTTGAGCAACTCCAACCAAGATCTTACTTGAGCCCTTCATCCCATTTTGAGAGTTCAAACACACAAAAAAGCTCTTCAACCGAGCTCCTATTCTCCCCCTACTCCTTTTTCTCTTCCCACAAAGCTGACAAGTGGGGCTGATGACCAGGGTCCATGATAATAGAAAGTGTAAAGTAGGGAAGTTTTAGGAGATGGATTGGAGTGCGCTGAGAAGTCGGGGCTGAAACATGGATGAGGGGCTCTCATTTGAGGGAATAGGGGAAGCAAAATAGGGCTTGGTTGGAGTTGCTCTTATGCAGGCTTGCACAATGCTTAAAGCAGGCTAATGAAGCATTAGCTAGTACACCAGATTTTTCCATATTAGACAATTCAGATTTGCATAGCCGATGGGCGTACCTAGTGCAGAGAGCTCCCGCTCTGTGCGGGGTCTGGGGAAGGGTGTCAGTGGCAAGCCTTACCCTCGCCTGTGCAATGCGAGGAGACCGCGACTCAAACCCAGGACCTTCCGGTTATAGGCGGTAAGACTCTACCGCTTGCACCAGGCCCGCCCTTCTTGCATAGCCGATGGGCACACTCACAAAAAATATTTTCTGATTCTCTACCATTGCTAGAAATACGAGACCTCTAATAGAACATGTAAAGTGACTATGCAATAAATGTAAACAAACAAACACAATTTTATCGGACGCGGCTTAGCTTGTGCTGCATAAGGTCTTATGCAACCTCAGCCTATTACAGGCAACCAATCAGACCCCATTATTTCTTCTCCAATAGTGGTAGGAGAGAACAATACAACGAAATGGGCATTGTTTTGGGGGCAGTTTTAGATTCGGAGTAGATGAATAATTTGGACCCACAGTATATTTTCCTGCTGTAGAAGCGTATCACGCTCTATTTCTGACATGCAGTAGCTTTTTCGCTTTATGAATTAAGTAATGTTCCAATCTTGTTCCACAATCTCCCTAGCTGCTTCTTCAACAGCTAGGAATTTGGAGAATAGCTTGTGATTAGTCTATGGTCTTTTGTGGATGGAGGCATGGAGCTGAATCATGCTTATTTAGTCATCAATGCATGCTACCTGTGAAAGTAAATGTTCAACGCTCATTGAGAACAATGTTCAGTATGACATGGGCTTTTATGATACTAGTCTGCTGAAGATGAGTTTATTCTTTTATGGTGGCTGATTGATATTGAGCTGGAGATGGTCATATGTTTTCGACATCAAGTAGGAACTGTGGTTTGATTTATCTGTGATCCTTCTGTTCAACCATTACCGTTCATAGGATCATTTTGTCAAACAAACAGAATAAGTTGATCATTTGATAAAAACGTGCGTTGTTTTTTCTCGAACATGCAGGAGAACTGCACATCATTATATTAAGAAGAATGGGGGGAGGAGAAACCCAATAGAACACCACACACTCATGCCCTGACTTCTAAGAGAAACTAATCACCTGGAGAACAGTTTAAAATGACCCCTTACCTAGGAAAACTTGCATTGTTAGTATCTCACTTGGGATTAGGAGGCCAGTAGATTATGAAATCATTAATACACCACAACTTTTAGCTAACTTAAGATGGAAGTTATCCTACAAAAGCTGTATCCATGCTTGTTTGAAATGTGAACTCCAATATTTTTTTTCTTGCGGGAATGGAAATGAAAAACACGAGATACTTTTTTCTAGAAATATGGACGAATTGAAATTTAACTCCTCAAGAAGTGCTTTACTCCATCCCTTTTAATCTTACAAAAAAGATTCACCGATCTAAAGAAAAACAAAATGAAATTCCATTGAATTGTATTTTTATTTTCAATTAGAATTGTCTTCGAGAACGTATAATTGTCTCAAAAGGATCAATATACATACCATAGTTATTAAGGCGACGACTAGGCGTCAGAGCGGTTTTTGAACCGTGGCGTCGTGCTCGCCGCGGCCTCCTCGCGTATGGCGTCGCCTTGGGCCAAAAGTCGTTGCCAAGGCGTCGGATTAGCTGAGGCGGACGCCGCTAGACGGAAAAGGTGCGAGGGAAAGAGCAGCGCGATCCGCGCGCGGGGGAAAAGGAGGGAGGAGCGCGCGCGGGAAGGGAAAAGGATTGAGCTGCGCGCAGGGGAAAGAGCAGCGCCGCTCGCTCGCGTGGGAAAAGAAGCTGCGGCGCGCCTACAGCTCCTGCCGGAGGCTCTCCAATCCCCATCGCGTCAGTTGAGAGAGGGAGAGGGAAAGGAAGGAGAGAGGAAGAGAGAAGAGGGCGGCGGAGCACCTGAAATTCGGCGCCGGCGCCGCCGCAGGCGGCTGCCCCGCGCGACTCCGCCCCATCCGCACGACTCAGCTCGTCCGTGCGACTCCGTCCCGTCCGCGACTCCCGCCCCGTCTGCGATTCCCGCGCCGTCGCGACTGCTCCGTCCGCCGTCCGGAGGGCGAGAGGGAAACAGAGGAGAGAGGGGAAGAGAAGAGGTCGTCCCCAATCCCCACCTGATCTGCCCCTCACCTTCGTTGCTTCCTTTTCTCCCTCCTTCCTCTGCTCTGCTGCGTGGACTCTGTTCTGCATCTTCTTCCTCTGCTCTGCTCCTCTGGTTGCTTGCTATCTGTGGCTGCTATGGACTAGCAGCACTAGTAATTAAGTTATGTTATGTCACTAGAGTCTAATTTGCTCCTATTGAGAGATGAGAGATTTCAAATTTGCTAGTTTGGTACTTTATGTTGTGCCCTGTACTGTAGCAGCACTATTTATTATGATATTATATGGTATGATTTGCTTCTGATTTCTAGTGATCTTATATATTAAGATGTTAGTAAGGTGTCACCTCGCCTCGTGCCTTAAACGCCTAGGTGTCTAGAAGGGGGTTGGGCGCCGCACCTCGCCTTACTGCCTTAATAACTATGATACATACACTATTAGACCTTCTGAGTGTTTATGAGTTGAAAAGAAATTTTGTATTATTCTATGCTTTGATGTCTGCAGTACTAGATACCATCTCCCAAGAATAATCTGTTATCCATTGTTAAGTTTAAGGAAGTGATTGCTATAATAGAGGCCCTGAATGTGTGCCATGTGGTCTTTTGGCAACATACATAGTTTTTGTGCAAAATATTAGATAGATACCTTGTTTAGGAACTTAGGCAGAATTGTTTATATCCGTCAATAATGTTATGGAGCAGAATGTAATTGCATGATGTTGCAAAGAAAGCAGAACATCTCGCTTGTGTACATGGTTTCATGAGCCAGTTTACGACACACAGTGTATATCATGTGTAAAAGATTTCTTGCATAGGATTTTCATAGCTTTTAGTTAAGCACAATAGACTTGTAAATTCAAACTAATTTGCAAATTGGGATTCTTTTAATCATTATACAATTTTTTCATTTTTTGTTATATATTATTTTTAACATATATCTATTTGATTATATATTTCATTACTCCTAATGCATGCATGGGCATATGTTTATTGAGCAGGCTATGCATGTGCGTGTCGAACCAAATATAGTGCTATGCATGGTAGCAGTATCTGTATAAATTTGTCCCCCCCCCCCCCAAAAAAAACTACTTTTTAAGTCAATGATTTTCATGTGCTATATATCTTCTATGATCATGAGCTGTGCCTGGACTTTAGTAGCTTGGTGGAACTTTGCTGTCAAATCCTTACTTTAGTTGGCTTGACTATTTTATAATTCTCTGACTTTGTCATCTGTTGCTGCTTTCTTCAAAGGATTGAAAGAAGAAATATAACACTCAAGTGGGCTTCTCTGTGTGGACTCTGCATTGTTACTACTGCAGGGCACATGCAACTCACTTTTGATGATACGTATTATCTAGACTAATTAGTTGCAACTATCTCCTTGAGGATTAGTTGTGCATCCGAGTACAAATTCTTTTTGCCTATATTAAACTTTGGAACCTTAGTTGGATTCCAGCAACTGTGTGAATCTCCTGGGGGGGTAAGACAGCCCTCGGGCATTGCATTAAGAAGAAGACCTTCTCACGCAGGTCGAGAAAACCCCGAACCCCTGCCCCACCCATATAGAGCATCACCGTAGCTGATGTGAGAATGACCACGACCAGGGCTTTGGTGGGACATACGAGGGGATTTTTTTAACCCTAGCCTGAAATTCACTCCCACGGGGAGTCGAACTCAGGACCTGAGGAGTGCTACTCAAGCCACCTAACCAACTCAGCTAGAGGCCCTTTTGCCTACTTTTTAGTTCTAATAATGACACGTTACATAAATAGGAGATGTATGTAAGGATAAATTATGCCCTGGGTACCAAAACTTGTGTGGTGGGTGCAATCTTGTCACATAACTTGAAAACGGTGTGAACTTGTCACTAATCTTGTTATGGGGATGCAATTATGTCATCGTTGCATTGGTTTGAGCAATCAGATACACCAGGTGCTGACTGCATTGTTAACATGGTTGGTGGCATGTTGTCAGAAGTATTGTTCCCATGAATTTCATTCTAAAACACCCTTGCAAATTGCATGCTAATTACATTCGAGCAGAATGATTCCTTTAATTTGTTTTATCCTTGTTTGCTAGTTTGAGAACACGCATGGCTAGACAGGGACAAGAAGGCTGTCAGTGCAGTGAAAATAAGGATGCAAGCAATGTTTTGGATACAACTTCTGTTTCACTGTATTTATGCGCATCACACACTGCACAGACCAAGAAAGTACTAGTTCCAAGGAAAAAACCAATGTGAAATCACAATGCAACTATATTTCCCTTCCATTGGAGCATTTAATTAGGGTAGGTAGTGGAAATATTGCAATAACTGGAGCGTTGATATCCTTAGTGGACAAACACTAAAGGGCGTACCCAGTGCAGAGAGCTCCCGCTCCGTGCGGGGTCTGGGGAGGGGTGTCAGTGGCAAGCCTTACCCTCGCATGTGCAATGCGAGGAGACAAACACTGAAGCATTTTTCTATCGATGCCATGGACAAACATACTGAAATGGAGGGAGCATTGGACAAGAGAACAAGTATGGTTAGTGAAACAAGTGGTTAAAGGGTAGACAGGCGATTAGAGGCCAGGGCACATCGATCCCAATTTTTTTTCCTACATTCAGCAATATTGAAGAGGCATTGTGTGTTGTATAAGAAACTATGCATCAGTTGCAGTTTGGGCTGTTTAAACTCCTCTAAGCCTCTAGAATCCATCTAACAGTACATTTACTGGGATGAGGCCATGCCTTTTCTTACTGATTACAAGAAGAAACACCACATCAATATGGTGAGCAACATAGAACTGGTTTAAGTATGTAAACTTGTATAGTGAACTAAATGTACATGTGAGTGAGGCCATTTGAACATTTCATCTAACTATGCCTGCTCAGCTAGAAGACATGAGGGATTGAACAGCTACAGAAGGGGCTTATAAGCAACATCAGTATCATGCAGCAACACTGCAGCATTCTCGGCTGGTAGCCCTATCCTTACCCATTGATCTAAACCCATATGGTTCTAGTTTCTTTTTGAGGGCATATGGTTCTAGTTTCTTGTTCCAGCCTGCTGTGAAGCCCTATGGTTGCACTTTACTTTTTCATCGTCAGGTTGCTTTCTTTGCTTGTCCCTTCACCGACTGCTTGATGATGAATGGAATGAAAGCTCTTTGTTTAGCACTAACCAGCACAAGAAACCCACAAATCCATGCCTTTCACTGCAACGCTGGCTGCCTGGTCAGCACCATATGATGAATGGAATGAAAGCTCTTTGTTTAGCACTAACCAGCACAAGAAACCCACAAATCCATGCCTTTCACTGCAATGCTGGCTGCCTGGTCAGCACCATATGGACTTGATTGGCTTCAACTGGTGTATTAATGACCTAATTGCAGCAAAGAAACAATATTAGTGACTGTTTTGCACCATTTTCAAGTTTTGTGATAAGATTGCACGTACCCTGCGAGTTTTGGCACCCATGATGCAATGGTCTTTATTTAAGGAGGGAAATTGCGTTTAATATATGTGTGCTTTAGACAATTCGTTGTATAGCTTTATACATCATACTATGAAGGATGGTTGCAGGGTCATAACTCTCCTTAGTGATATCTGGTATGCAGCAGACAGTTTAGTATATCTGGAGTCGCTGAATTGGTACATTGGCATCTGACTGTCTAAAGTTTGTTAGCACGCTCTGACATATGTAGCAAAGTGACACAATTGCTTGGTGGATGTAATTCATGTGATTGTTTGTCAGTTATCACTATTTGTTTCAATTTTGTTTTAGCACATTCTATTCTATTCAGATTCAGATTGGCTAACTCATTTACATCAAAAGAATATCTAAAATGCATTATCATATGTACTCTTTGCTACCTCCCAGTCTTCTCTTTTTATTGTTTTTTGTTTGTGCGTGCACACTGCTGATACTTGACTTTCTTTTTCTTTTCTTTTCTTTTAAGGTTGTTGAGCTTTGGACAAAGCGGAAGTTTCGTTGTGATTGTGGCAACTCAAAGTTTGGTGGTCACCTTTGCAAACTTTGCCCTGAGAAAGATTCTGAGAATTCAGCAAATGCTTATAATCATAACTTCAAAGGTTCCTATTGCACATGTGGGCGGCCTTATCCTGACCCAGAAGCTAAGGAGCAAGTTGAAATGATACAATGCAGTATATGTGAGGATTGGTTTCATGGGGATCATATTGGTCTCAACTCTATTGAAGAGGTATTCTACTTTCCAGTACCTTCTTAAATGGGATCATATCTGTTAAGTGTTTTTCGTGTTCTGATTGATTCTTGTGTGTTTGCCTGGTTGCATCACCTGTATCTGCAATACTGATATCTTGCTCCTTGCTAGTGGTGTTCATATTTTTTCCTTATGCTCATGCCATTTCTTCTAGATTTTTATTCTGGCCTTAGTCTTAAGGAATTACATTACTCTGGTGCAGGGTACTATTGTTGTAGTCCATTATTACTGTCCTTTTGCAATACTGGTACCAATGCCAGTAGTATTCATATATTTTTTTCTTATGCCGATACTTTTCTTCTTCTAGATTGTTTATTGACCTTAGAGGAATTACATCATTGTGATGCAATGTACTATTGTTGTAGTCCATTATTACTCTATCCTCTTGCTTGGTGAAACTAGAAGCAAATGCATTGCTTAGCTAGAGCTTTTGGTTGTTAGCTTTTACCTTGTCTTCCTCAAAAAGGCAATTGCTCATGTGCTCATGAATAGTTGTGCTATTGGGGACCAAGAATCTCTTAGGGCTTGTTTGGATCCCATGAATTGAAACAAATATCTAGAAAGTGCTTCTCATTTCATTATCATATTACTTTCCAATTCCTCTCAATTCTTGGGAACCAAACAGGGCCTTAATGATTAGCCAATCTACTAACTACTAAGCTTATACGTTGATTCAACAATGTTTAACTTACTATACCTTATCAGAGGGTCCTTAAAATTGGAAAATTTCTCTTTCAATACTTATGCTATTGGGACTAAGAATCTCTTACTGATCAGCGCTGCTCAGCTTACACATTGATTTAACAATGTATAACTTCTATACCTTGTCAGCTGCTGCAAAATTGGAAAGTTACAGTAATTATGCTGACGAAGAATCTCTTACTGATCAGCACTACTAAGTTGACACATTAACTCAACAATGTTTTATTTTATTACTTCATTTTTTTTTCTTTCTGCAACACTCAGGAGAGCTGTATGTCATTTTGTTAATAGAATTACTTCTATGCTTTATCAGGCTGCAACTGCAAATTGCATGCATATTTATCATATCCCTTTCTTTGGTCAGTAGAGGCCTTTTTAGATGTCCACATGATATTTTTTTTGAACACGCAGGAGAGTCACATATCTTTCTTGAATAGAGTCCTCAGGATAAAATGTAGCATCTTCTGTTTAGTTTCCTGGCACATACAAAATGTTAGTGTGCTTAATGACTTCCTTGTGTTGCAGATACCAGGAGATGAGGAAGGGGAGCCACTCTATGAGGAATTTATATGCCACAAATGCTCACCTGTTTGCCATTTCTTGAAATTGTATCCAGATACAATTTGGGCATCTGGTAAGCAGAATCTGGTATTGCAAACTGATGCAAGTGATCCAAATGCGATGGAAAAACCTTCAGGTAATGCTAACACTAAGAAACATGAAAATGGTGCTCTTGTTGATCATACGGTTGGTGAAAAGACCTCCATTGGGAATGATTCTACAAAATCTGTTGCAGTTCCTGAGGAGGCCAATTTGGGTAGCAGTTCTGGCAGCAACTGCAAGCTAGGAATGGATGTAAATACAATGCCAGCTGTTACAGATAAAAGTGAGCCTTTTTTCATGTCTAAAGGTTGGAGGGAAACACTATGCAGGTGTGAAACATGCATCAACTTCTATGCACAACGAGGTATTGCATATCTTATTGACAAGGAGGATTCTATTGAGGAATATGAGAGAATTGCCAAGCAGAAGAGGGAGAAGAAACTGGAGCAGCAGCAAGGAGCTGCGACAAATTTTCTGAATTCACTTGATCATGTTCAGAAGATGGAGATGTTGAGTGGCATCAATGACATGAAGAATGAGTTTCAGTCCTTTCTGGTAACAATCTTCTCTTTTGATTGATAGAGTAGGTGAAAAACTTTTGGTAGTTGGATGAGATTGGAGAAAATTGTTACTTAATGCTTCTTGGTAAAACACAGGAAATCATTTGAAGTAAACGTGTTTTGACAACTGTATGAGATTTGAGAAAATTGTTACCTGATATGAGTACTTTCTTAAACACATGACAACCATTCAAAGAAGTGAACCTGCATGTTTTAAAACCCTACTCCAAACACCTGGCAAGCACTCTGTGCAATGTGACAATACCACCTTGAACATAAGAGCTAATTTGTGTAACTCATGCTTTGCATCATGTACTGGGCTCGTCTGCACCTGCTAACATTACAGATAATTAATGATTACAAAGCTAGATCGCCCTGCTGTGATTATTGGGTAATTGTTCATGTGTAAAATGTGTTGAAACTTGGAAATGATGCATTTTCCTGTCGGTCAGCATTAGATAAGTGTGGTCTAAGACAGCATAAGAAGTTGTTTGTGGCCTTCAATTCTGTTTTCATGTTTTCCTAGTGTGTTACTGTATGCAGCTTGATTTTGTTTGCTGAATTTACTTTTCAATTTAACAATATATTTGTCTTTTGCATTTCGTCCTGTCTGTGCTTTTCAACTCAGAAAAGAGGAATGCCATTTGATTTTGTTGACGCATTTGCTTCCATGTTTCGTTTTAACATGTTTTGTTGGCATCTGATTTTATTCAGTCATCTCATTGTTGTTTTTGCTTTGTCTGATACTTTGAGCAGGAGTCCCGCGATACATCGAAACCAATAACATCTGAAGATATACGCTCTGTCTTTGAGAATCTTGATAAGAAGAAGAAACAGAGGTTATCTTAGCTTGTGCCGCATCAGACCCCACCTGGGGCAATCGTTCTGCTGGACAGAGGTCTTAGTTGTTGGGTATCTTTAGGACATCCCGAGTAAATGTAATGTTATCTTATTAGGTGGTACTAGACTTGCCAGTAATGTGGAATTCTAGCAGGAACACTGTAATGTTTAATGCACTGAAGTCGCTTGCAGTAGATTCCGATGGCTCAAGCTGCCAATAACCCGTTTGCTTCCTGAATCTCAATCCTGTTTGGTGATAATATACATTGTGTTGCCACCGTGCTTTTATCCTTACGAGTCTAATGCAGTTGCAACTTGTATTAGGGCTGAACTAAGGTTCTGCTAGAGTATGATGGCTGCCCATTCACGTCGCTATGGTAGTTATCCCTGAATGCTAGCAGTCGTGCTTCTCGGTCGACCGATAACTGGATGGCCACCGGCTTCGCCGTCCGACGTCTTGCAGCTCCCTGCACTGCACATTCAGTTGTGGTTAGCTGATACCCGGCCACCGGGTAGATCTTTTTTCGGGCGAACTAATAACTCAGAAAAAAATCTGGACTTACAATATCCAATGGCGTTGGATACGCCATCTGTGCGCGCGTGCTGGGCATCACCGAGAGCAGCATATCTGCCAAGGGACGCATATAGACGCCAGACTAGAAAGACACGCCGCGCCACCCTTATATCATGTTCTTATGCTTTTAGTTAATCTACTTTTAAAGTGTCTAATTTAGATTCTGATTGTAATTAAGTAGCATTGCTATGTAGGCAATAGATTGATAAAGGAGAAATAATCCTCTCTGGTTCTCGGTTACTTCTTTTGCTGCAGTTGCCTGCTTGTGAGTTTTCTGGATGCTCAATATAGATGATTTTGAAACCTGCGTCCTACATCTTCACATACTTTCTGATACATCTTGTATACCTGTTGATCCTGAAATGTTCCAGGCCTTATATCATGTTAGATTACACACATGCAAGTTCATAATTTTAGATTATGGCATGGCAAAGTTTAGAAACAGAAGCTCAGAGTTTGATTGATCCAAAGGAAGTGCATTGCTCATTGGAAAACAGGATGTCCATTATAGTCGGAACTGGCAACTCTTCAATGTAGATATTTAAAGCAACAGCACATAGAAGAGTTCAGAGGTTTAGATGAAACAAATGTTTGACAGCACAAGTGCATACCGGTTCCCAACGAAGCTACATTACCAAAATCAAATTCAGTTGGAATATAAGGAATGGGAAAGTAGCACTGCTACTTATTGGAGAATGGAGAGAAAAATTAGAGCAGGTTATGGATGAATATCTTTGTATCCATCGGATCAAATGAATAAGACAGATATGATTTTGAATAAAATAGAGAAAGATCACTCATGATGACTCATTGAAATTGCAAGTGAACCAAAGATGGTATTGCTTATTTTTATGAGTCGTTTGTCATAACAATTACATGGATTTACTCAAAAAAGTTACAATGATGTAATGAACAGCTCATCAAGAGAATGTGGAATGAACTTGCTCAATGTATTCCTGGATAAGTTCCTGAAAAAGAAAAAAAAAGATCAAGAAATAGTCATTAAGCTCTATACTATTTTATGGCGGCAAGTACAAGCTGAAAAATTGAAAACTTGTTTCCAAATTGGCCTTTAAAGAATTATCTGGCAGCTTCAGTTAATCTAATTGGAGAGATCTATCTGATAGGGAGTGGGGTTGAAACCAACAATGATATAACAGTTTATAACTAATCAAATGAAATTTAGAAATGCCCTTCAAAACTTACAATGTCACTTCCACCAAATTGCCAAATTCTAAAAGGATGTATCCACTTAAATAATGTCATCACACATCAGAAGAACAAGAGTCACTTAAATGATCTCATTTGCAACTGTTTTAACCTTTCATTTTCTGGTGGTATGGGCCCAACTAATCTTGATATGGAAGAATCCTAAATGAAGGTATAATAGGATATTTTTGCTAATTTGATAGAAGATAATGAAATGTCATGCTCAAATAATATCTGAGAAATGCTATTCTATATTAAAAAAACTAAATTACTAATGCAAAAAACTATGGATGGCTATAAAATATTAAGCAATTCACAAATAACTAAGATAACTTGAAGGGGAAATCTCATTTTAGAATATAAAAAGAGCGTACCCAGTGCAGAGAGCTCCCGCTCTGTGCGGGATCTGGGAAAGGTATCAGTGGCAAGCCTTACCCTCGCCTGTGCAATATGAGGAGACCATGACTCAAACCTGAGACCTTCCGGTCACAGGCGGTAAGACTCTATCGCTTGCACCAGGCCCACCCTTCAGGAAATCTCATTTTTGAATATGCATTTGATAAAAAAGGGCGTACCCAGTGCAGAGAGCTCCCGCTCTGTGCGGGATCTGGGGAAGGGTGTCAGTGGCAAGCCTTACTCTCGCCTATGCAATGCGAGAAGACTGCGACTCGAACCCGGGACCTTTCGGTCACAGGTAGTAAGACTCTACCGCTTGCACCTTTGATATTTTTAAAAAACAGTAGCAGAAGAAATATCTATTAGAAGTTTAGAACATAGGCTATGAGGATGTTTCTCTTGCCTGTAGCGTTGCTAAAGGAGCAGAAGGTCAAATTCGTATTGCAAAATAGATCACCTGGGCAGTGATGATAGAATCTCAGTCCAAGATCTATGGCATATTTTGTAAATATAAATTAGGAAAAAGTCCATTTTGGCCCTCCAACTATGGCTGAAGTTTGTTTTGAGCCATCTAACTTCAAAACCAGGCACACGCAGTCCGTTAACTCTCAAAACCGTTTAAAATAGGCCCTCGCGTCCATTCGACAGCGGTTTTCGCACAGTAAACCCGCCACGACCCCGCCTGTCAGGCCTTTCCCTCGCACCGCCAAGGTTGGGACCACATGTCATCCCCTCCCTCTCTTTGCGGGCCCCGTCTGTCAGGCCTTTCCCCAACCTCCCCGCCACATGTCGTTGCCACCACGGCGGCCAGCACAGGAAGCGCTAGGCATGGCTGCTGCTACTCGCGCCATGGTTGCTTTCTCCTCGCCGCCGCGCCATGGCTTCTTTGCTTTCGCCATGCGAGCCCCACGTCCTGCTTTCGCCGCTGCGCCGCGCCGCCGCCAGTGGAGCCTCGCTTTCGCTGCTTTCGCCCATGGCGCGCCGACATCTCGCTTCGCCACTCGCCTACCGCCCATGCGGTGCCACGGTCGCTATTTCACTTCACGCCAGACGTCTGTCAAGGCCACCTCCCTCCAGATAGCGTCGTCCGATCTCCGCCTGCGCCGTTACGTTCGCCACGGCTCATTGCCGATGCCAAGGCCACCTCCTCTCTGACCAAAATTTGTAAGTCGCGCGTCTTTGCCGCCGCCTCTACAACTCCCGTCGCCATGGCCGCGTTCTTGGCTGCCCCCCCATTGTCGTCTTGTAGCGGTCGCTGAAGAAGAATGCGAGCACCTCGCTGAGACAGGAGGCGAGCTTGGGGACCCTCTCCAGCTTCATTTGTTTAATCTGAACACGATAGCAATTGCATCCTATCATCAGACAGACATCAGACGACCACACCACTCGTAGCAGTGCTCTCGGCCTCTCTGCCATCCTCCAGCAGCTCTAGCGCCATGGCGGCCGTCGTGGTAGCTCTGCTGCTGCTCCTATCGCCGCTCACCATGCAGAGCGCAGTTGTGAGGTCTAAGCCCCTGCCCGTCGTCGCACGCGTCAGCCAGGACTGCTCCACCGGCCTCTACCTCATCAGCGTCAGGAACTACGACCCAAACCCGCTCGTCCTCGACCACGCCAGATGAGCTCCCCTCCTTGTCGTTCCCTAACCTCTTCCAGGCACAGGGGCCGCGCAGCCCGGGGGGAAACCTGTACTCCGGCGTGGCGGGGCTGTCGCTGTCGCCGCTCTCGCTGCCGTCGCAGGTCGCAGCGGGGCTCAAGGTGTCCAGCAAGTTCGCGCTCTGCCTCCCGCACGTGGCCATCTTCGGCGGTGGGCTCATCCACATCCTGGGCTCGGCCGACGACGTCGAGACGGTGACCGACCACCTGAGCCGCACCCGCCTCCTCCGGAACCCGAGGAACAACGCCTACTACATGGATGTCGCGGGCATCGCCATGAACGGCACGCGTGTGGCCTTGTCGGACGGCTCCCTCGCCCTCTCCAGCCAGGGCCAGGGTGGCGTCTCACGGCGCTGTGCCCGGACATCTACCGCGTGGTGCTCGCGGCGTTCGACGCGGCCACGGCCGACCTCCCGCGCGTTTCTCAGGCGCCCAAGCCGTTGGAGCGCTGCTTCAACCTAACTGTGATGAACCAGATGGGGACGTGGACCGGCTCCCTGCCCGTGGCCATCGACCTAATGCTGGCCGATAGGAAGAACTGGACGTTCACTAGCCTGAGCGTGATGCATGAGGTCGCCCCGCAGACGCTATGCTTCGCCTTCGTGGAGATGGGGGCGGGGACCGCTGCGGCGTACGCGGTGCCGGACTCTCCGGCGGTGGTCGTCGGAGGCCACCACATGTGTACAACCCAAAAATCCACACACCAAAAATCACAACTACAAATTTTTTGTTTAAGCCCTATGTGATATTGAGTGACACATGTAGAAGCCAAACCCTAGTTTTGGATTAGATGTGACCCAACTAGGTTAAAATCATAAGCATAGTTTGGTTTTATGCCACATGTGTAATTAAATTCCTAAATAAATAAATAAATCATGCATGCATCCTTAATCCCACTTGTGATTTGAATTCTTTTGTCTTATGTGATGTTTAACTAACTTACTTAATATTTATGATAAACCATAAATAATGAATTATTTGTTGGAAGAATAAAACACCCCTATATAAAAACTTCAACTATTTTTGTATAACAAAAATAGCCAATAATCCCTAATATGTGGGATGTATTTTGACCACCATTTGAAACACCTTGTGGGACCCACTACATGACTCGAAGCTCAAGTTTAAACTCTAACTAAATTTGAATCGAAGCAAAAGAAAGAAAAGAGAAACAAAC